ATTCTGGTCACATCCTTGGTAAGCATTACCAGTGAGTGTGCGGTTCAGCCATGATTTGGTTGTGCAGTCTGACAATCAGCTCATGCTTAGAGGCCAAATCTACAAAAATACCTGCACAGTCTCCTTTAAGACTTGTGAAAGATTTGTGAACCTTTTAGTAAAAAATATTGTCTGCTCTTTAGTAAGCCTTACCCAAGGCTTACCAGTGTAAGATGCATCTGTACAGATCCGTGTTTTCATGCAGCTGTGGCTTTTGAGAGTTACCATGCAAATTATCTGATGTCATTAATTTCTTTGTGTGCACTGCAGTAAAAAGAGCTGTGATCAGATGGTTATTGTCAAATGTAACCTGTATCCATGATCGTGACATGGAAGTTCCAAGAAAACAAAGAGGCAGAGGAAAATAAATGGAAGGAGTATAGTTCTGACACAGTTTTTCCTAACCTGTTCTGCCAGAAGGCTTTAAGACCTTGTGGAGTTCTGCACAAATATAACTTGTTTCCACTGAACCCTTGAAAGACTTTTTTTAAATAGGTCAAATACAGTTTCCTTGCTTCAAAGTTATATATCTCTCGCTATTTATGAAACCATAAGCAACCTTGACAACAAATGAACTCATCTGAGTTCCTGAAAATATTCAGTTATGAGGGTATATTTTTAAATGTGGTTCTGTTGTCTTTCAGTGTCTGGTATGGTGTTTTCACATGTGTTGGGTAAGGGAATAAATCCAGAAAATATGGAATAAAGTTTACTTTTCTACAATAATAGAGACTTTTACTTGGACAGCCACAAATAATTTTTCTTGCTGTTATTGCAAGCTGACATTATTTTCTGTTTGAAGCTCATCATGAAGCACGTGTGTTTTTTTTCCTTTTTCTCTGCTTACTCTTATGGTTTTGTTTAATAGGTGCCTGAAATGATTTCTTTTTTTTTTTTTGTTTAAAACCCAACTAAACAAAACTATTTTGCTTCCTTGTGTTTATGCAAATAATGTAAAGTAGTTTTTGTGGCTGTAATCTGATTCTGTCACTTAAGGAAGTAGAACTTTACCTTCGTCAAGGTTACTTCACATTAGCTTCATGTTTACTTTCAGAAATAAATGTGTGTTGATCTTCATATATGTCTGCTAGTTTTCTTTTATTGGGGCAAAAGTTGGTAATCTAGATGAAATGGCTTTGTGACTGAAGAATTCTACCCAAGTATGTTTGCCATGCAACTGTGATTTAGCAAAATTAAACTTTGCTGGTTACGCTTTTGATGTAACCATATACTGGGACATCTTCCATAGTTTTGTTGCTAGTCAGGATGGAAAATAAAACTGCAACTCTGACTTGATCAAGGATTAGAAAACGAACAAGTCATTGCTCCCCTGAGAACTGTAATGTACATTTGTCATTGGTGGTAACTTCCCATTTGGATTTTCTGAGCATGTGTGAAAAGTGGCTTTTTATTGTACAATTCACTCTGGTTTTGCAGTTAGTGTCAGGATTCTTTCTACCCTAAGCTCATGCCAGACTTAGGTTTCAATTCTTACCTTTGAAAATCATTTTGTCTGTGACTCTGAAATGAAAGGGATGCTGTATTTCAGAGCTGAGTTGCTTTTGGCAAATGTGTTTCAAAGCCAGGTTTCTGGTGACCATAGCAACCTGTGGAGAGGGAGGAGAGGCTAGACCCAGATGGGGACAGACATACAGATAGGAATTTGGAATTTGCTAGGTGAGAAAAGCACTTGAGGTTGAAGAAAGCTGCAGACCTGAGATGAGAGGTGACAGTGGACTAATTAAAGAGGGTGAAGCAGAGGTTGTAAATGGGAAGTGGGCTGATGCATTTATGTCTAATAGGGCGTACTAATTTTAAAGGACCTGAAATAACACCCCAAAGTGGTAACAAAATGTTGGTGAAAGGGACTGTCAGTTTTCCCATTCCCCTTTGTGTGATGGTACATGGAGCAGATAAGAGTCTTTCTCTTCTGTTGTTTCTTCCATTAGCTCATGGAAGCCATCTGTGCATCTCTTTATTTTGTATCTTTAAGTATATATATTGCATAATCTCATGTCATATTTATCTTCCTCTCTACCTTGTTCTCCCATGTGCTTTTTATTTTATTCACTGCATAGACTTGCTTTTGAGTAATTGTTGCAGAAGGTGAAAGAGCTGAGAGAGAACTACAAAGAAAGTGTGTGGTCCCACACAGGGGATTTAAAATTGTGTTCTGGAGCATAGGTCTGTTTCCTTAGGGAAGTTTTGAGAACTAGTGAGTTTGCCTAGGTGTACGTCTAATGCATTCCAACATAAAATATTGTTATTCCTCTGTATAAATTTATGGTAGATTATAATAACATTTTATATACCTTTTATCTCGTATATGGTGTGCACTGTCTGTCCTTCTATTTCAGAAAGAATAGTGTGTAACTGGAAACGGGTAGAGAGGAGGACAGGATGGCTGGCTGGAGGATGGCTTTTCTGTAAGAAGTGGTTGACTTGGAGTATGATTATTTAGTTTGGAGTGAAGGTACCTGAAGGAAGATACAATATAGGCATCAAAATCAGGACTAAGGGAAAGGTAGAGATGACTTTGTTTACTGCCTCATATAATCAAAAATCTGTGGATACTAAATATAATTAGTAGGAACAGGCTTAAATGGAAGGATATATCTTCTACTCTGCATAACTAAGCTGTGGAACTCCTTGCTTCTAAGTGCTAAAATTTTACGCAGATTCAAAAGTACTATTAATGGGAGAACAATCAATAAACAGCTTTAAATCTGATTCCATATAGGACTTCAGAAGTTTCTGATGCAAATGTCACTGAATATGTGGAGAAAATGGTTTATAAATATTGCTTTAAAGTGATATATGCTTATTCTATTTCTGTGTTCTTCCTTTACTATCCTAGTGATAGCTGCTAATAGCCGTGGATAAAATGCTGGACCAGATGGATCTTTGGTCTTACATGTGGGGGCTATTAGCATGTACTAGTTATGGTGGTGAGTGCTTTTAAAAAGCAGAGGAAGGCATCTAGTAATTCTGTATTCAGAGAACTGTTTAAATTATGTATGGTGTGGTTAAAAAAACAAAGCCACACCTGAAGGAGAAAACAAATTTTAAGAACTGCTTATAGAGACCTTTTTACTAGGTATGTTCAGGGAATGTAACCAGATTTTCATGGAACCAAATTTAACGTGATCATAGCATGAGCCGAGATTTTTTTTTTTTTTAGGAGTGGGGCAGCTGACTTAAGACTGAATGTTTTATGAGTTGAAGCTTATAGCGTTGTGGGGTTTTTTGGGGTTTGATTTTTTTTTTTTTTTTGGTAACAAAAAAAGGTATAAATTTATATGCCAGCTGTTGCTTTCCATATAAAATATTTTCTGTGTGCTGTTGGTTGTGTAGAGGCTAGTTCATCTGGCCTTAGCTAGCTGTTAATACTTTTTTATCAATACCTTGGAATAATTTTTTTTTCTTGAAGAAACTTAAAGGAATGCAATGCTGATGCATTCTTTCAAGTGTTTTGCTGTATAAACAGTCTAATGAATATCTTTTTGACCAATGGGCATCACATAGTCTTAGTGTTGATTTGATCTTAAATTCTGTGGAATAGTATTTCTAAATTTTATTGGGCATTTTATGCTGTTTTACCAAAGCAGTCGTTTGTTTATATCAGGTAAATATAAAATGACATCCTTTCATTTTGTGATGTTCTTCCACCTCATTTTTTTTTTCTCCCAAGCTGCATCAGAATGTCATGGTTGTTGCCTTAATATAAAGTGAATGTATTGTGAAGTGTAGCCTGTGACTAATAGCCTCTTGCTGTCTCTACTTATTAACTGTCTGATAGTGATGTGGTTGCACCACTTTCTACACATGGCCTCAAGGATATGCCATTGTGACACTCATATTAAAATATGCAAGGCTTGATTTCAAGAGACGTTTTGGGTTGGAAAGATAGAGAGGTTATATGCTGATATTGTGGCTGCCTTTTAGCCCTTTTATTTTAATGAATATTAGGTGGTAATAGAATAAGGTGTATCGATTTCATGTTCATGCATTCTAGTATACAGTTGATATTCTAGAGGCTATTTATTTTCAATTGTTCACCAGTTTTGTTGAATTAATGTTAACCTACAGTTAAAGCAGTGTGTTTGGAATGTGGCTTAGCAATTTTTTTCACCAAAAATTCATTTAAAGTTTGTTAAATATTGGTGTTTTACAAGTCAATTTGGTACATTAGTACTAGATTAGAATATTGTGATGGCGCACTGGCTTTTCAAATTGCATGCACTTTTATCTTTCTAAACAATATTACAAAATGAAACAAGTGCTGGACTGATAGTTAGTTATTGGCAAATGTGTAACTTAAAGGTTATTGAAAAGGGAGTTCTGTGAATGCCTTAATTATTCATTGGTGTTTTGGTAGCTGTGAAATAGCTCTGTTGCGAAAATACTGTCTCTGGTCTTCATCTTTGTAAAGTAAAGATATTCCGTCTTCTCCCTCATGCTTCCCACTGGAACCCCAAATATTGTCTTACGAAATGAGATGTAGTTTAGTTCAGGAGCAGGAACTTGATATTCTCATGGCTTTGTTTCGTTATCATGATGATAATTTTACAAGAGAAACAGGAAACACAAAGTGGTTTCTTTGTAAGGTTTCCTAAAGTAATGAATGGAGTTTACCAAAACTTTGTGGGTAAATTTTTGAAACCTCAGGTGGTGAGCACCACCCCATTTGAAAACTAAATTTTTAAGCCATCCAGCTGAAAATGTATGAAGTTATTGGTCATTTTAAATCTGTGGTTTGTAGGTAGAATCTGGCAAGCTAGTTGGAGATTATTTATTTGGAACAACGTAGTAATGTAATAGTTTACTAATGAAAAAACTTGCTTGTTCATTGAAATTATTTTATGCATGCACATGTTTTATGGCTATACAGGTGTTTAACGATGCCTTATCTTTAGCAATTTTTAAAATTTTTTTTTTCAAAATTTTATTTTTTAGGCACTGAGAAGAAGAAATAGGAACCTTTTCTCAAGCTGAAAATAAAGCAAAAGAAAACTGTATCATGTGTTAGAATACTGAAGAGTGACATTTCTTGGATTAGTATATTTCTGGATTGCAAAGCAAAAGAAGGACGCTGAAAATGGGGAGAAAGAAAATACAGATCACAAGAATAATGGATGAACGGAACAGACAGGTGAGAAATGGAGTCTGCATAAACAATTTCATCAGTAATCCTAAAAATTAATGGCAATTTGCAATACATTCATCTTAATTCACTCTTCTGAAGCTGAGCTTTGTCTTCATATATCTACAGATGGCACTGCCAGAATACAAATAAGAAATATGTCTCAATGGTTTTACTACTGTTTGAGGGAAAATTGTTATTTATCAGTAATATCAATTACTACTTTAAATCAAATTCACTGTAAAACTACCATTCCTATTTAAATGGTACCCTAGTGTGTACTTCCAGTAGACTGGAGGGTTGTGTTGAAACAGACACCTTGATCTGATAGCTAGTAGGAACACTTAGTAATGAAGATAAAGGATGAGAAATTCACTAAGGATGTAGTAAAAGCATTTGCTACAGCCTCTTTGACAGAGAAGTTTGACATAGCTGTGGACAGTGATCTGTGGAAGTTTGCATATAGTAATGACTTTTGTTAACATCATTCTTTTTAAAAGCATTCATTTATGTTCATTGTAAGAACTGTTTGCTACAGCAGTCTTTAAAAACTGCCAGTCAAATGGGGAGAGTACTCAGAAGTGCACTGTTTTAGGGAAAGCTGCTTACTTGGCTGCTCTTGCCCTAATGAAGAGGTGTCCTGTGAACTTGAAAAGTACCAAAAGTTGATGAGTCTGTAGAAATAGTGTTTCCTTTTAATTTCTAAATTACTACATGAGATATAAAATAAAATTTTAATTATATATTGAAATGTATAGTGGTGTATTTGGATGCTACCATTTTTATGGAAAAGTATTGTAGGAGTGACTTAGGGTCTTTAAGAATAGTCTTAGTGGGTCAGACCAAAGAGGTCACTAGTCCAGTATCTTTTCTCCAGTGATGATCATAAACAAGCAAGTGTAGGATGGATATGCACATGTTACACTACTCTGTAATCCTCTTCCAGCTTCTAACTATTCTTAGCTCAGGGATTTCCTGAGCTGGATGTGGTTTCCGTATATTTAGTAACCATTAATGGATTTTTTTTGTTGTTTTCCCCTCCCCCATCAGTGAGTTTGTTCAGTTACCCTTTGAGCCCTTACAAAGTTGCAGCATTTACAACATCTTTTGGATAGGATTTCCTATAGTTCTCATTACTTGTTTCAAGAAATACCTTTTCATTTACACTTTGTCGTGGTTTTGCTATTTATTTAGCTTCCGTATGGAAGGAACAGCAGTCACTCACTATCTAATCTGTCCATCTTGCTTGTTATTCTGTGGACCTCTGCCATGTTTTCTTATTTTTTCTTAAAATAACTTTTTCAGGCTGGAGCACCCTAGCTTACTTAGTTGTTTTAACACAGAATTTATTCCACACTTTTGACCATTCTTGCTACTTCTCCCTAAACTTTCTTGAGTATTGATATGTTATTTGTGGTGGCAAAGGGATCCAGAACTGCACAATGTTCAGGATGCTTGCAAAACATGGACTTACATAGTGGTGTACTGACGTTTGTTCTTTGTTCTCTTCCTAGTATTTGATTTGCTGTTTTAACTTCTCTTGAGCACCAGCTTGATGTAGTGTCAGAATTCCATGGGACTGTCCTGCTGCTGACACATCAGCTCAGAGCCTATTGTTTTGTTTGCGAAATCAGGATTGTTTTTCTCCCTGCTTCACTTTAAAGCAATGGAAACTCTGAGAAGACTATATATAGCAAGAAAAGTATTATTGGAGTTTGGGAGAAAGCCAAGTATTGTGTTTGAATAGCTTTAATCACATAGTGACTGTATGTTTGATGTAGATAAATGTTTTAAGTATCCGTAGTAAAAGTAGATGAATATAATAACTTCAGCTCTTTCAGAGCTTGCACTAGAATTTCAGGCATGTTGACGAGGTGGAAATTGATTCCTCTTCCCGCCTTTTTTGAACTTACTTGGAGTAAGTTGGACAACCTTGTTTTTGTTCTGTTTGAAATACAAACATAGTTATAGTATACCCTGAATCTGGTGTAGTGGGTTTTCTTTCAGTGGGAATTGCTTTTTTTGGATCTCCATCTCATTGTTCATGTTGCAACAGTGGAGAGGAGGAGAATTAGTACATTTGTATCAAATTTTACCCCATTTGTACCATTTCTGCGAGTGAAGCGAAATATGGAGATTAAATTCTAAGCTTTGTTTCTGGCTGTTTTTTGACTATTACTTTCTTGGGCTTTTTAGTGACTAGGAAGAGGCTTTAAGCTCTAACTCAGAAATGGAATTAGGCTTGCCTTATCCTTTTTCTGTGAAAACTTAGAGATGATAACATATTGATTCTTGTTTTTTCAAAAGGGTTTTAAAGAGATTAAATAGCTTTTGTTAGTGAAGCCAAATTTTGTTATGTGTAGAGGTATTTATGGTGTTCTTTAGTCCCACTGGTGTTCTGTGGTTTTGGTAGCTAGTATAGAGTTTTAACTTACTGAAATGGCCTGATGCACTGGATATTATTAGGTATTAATTTACTTTTGAGAATTTTTTTCACTGACCCAGATAAGGAGGGCATGTAGGGTTTGTTTTTTTGAATAGAAACCATAGTTCAGTTCTGTTCCCTCAGTTTTTCTGTGGCATACATAGCTGGTTAGTAGGTCACTCAGGAACATGCATATGATGTCCTGTTTAGATGTTTAGTGTGATGTTTAGGTTTTTTTGATTGGAAGAATGAGTAGAATGGGATAGAGCCTTGCCTGCAGAGCAAATTCATATAATTTATGTGGGAAGAAAAGCTATTGTTTTATCAGAAGCATCTTATTTCTGATGGGATTGTATGTGAGCTCAAAACAGAATATATAGACCATTGCTCTGGGGGATTACAATTGTCATGAGACTGTCATTGTATTATTAATTAAGCAGTCTTATCTGCTTGAATGAGCTGCAGGACATTTATCTTCATTAAGCTGAGGAGAATAAAGTACAGTAAATTAGATATCAAAGGAGTTCAATCTTGCTGCCTTTGCTTTCTCCTCCTCACCCATTTTTTGCTAAGCAATGTTAGAATAGTGCTGAGGAAGCCATTGGCCTGCAATAAAGATACATATTTTTGTTTTTAGTGTGGTCCTAAATGGCAATGAAAAAGAAAAGAGTAATTTGAAGAACTAATATTCTGCTTTCTGTGTTATTAAATGAAAACTGAGTTTATAATAACCTATTTGCATTGAAGGAAGGCTTGGAGTCCAGTGGTATGGGGATTTGTGCTAAGCACTGTCCAAACACAAAGTGGGAAATTGATGCTAGCTGGAAATCTCACAAGTAAAAAAAAATCTCACAAGTAGCCTTACAATAGGCGAGAGAGATACCATTTCAGTAGAGAAGTTAAGATCCTCTTTCCAGGATCATCATGTGGTTCCTCAGTGGAATTAAGACTTCAGTCTCTTCATTTAATGACTTCTTAAAGTAACAGAGTACACACACAGCTTGTTAATGATGCCTGTTTCCTGACAAAAACTGAACAGTAGTACCTGTTTATACCTGCTCATACTCAGGTAATAATCTCTTAAATATCTTGTAATTGAAGTATAAGAACAATAACAACTATTTAAAACATGATTTAAGAAAACCACAGTTTCCCCAGATCCCCAGAGGAACCCAGACAAAGTAATTCTTAATGTCCCGTCCAAGACAGGATAAATAAATCCCAAGTGTTCTGAAAGAAGGCATGGGTAAAGTGACACGACTGCTAGGAGACTTTACACATCTGTTTTTAAAAAGCAGCTGTATTGTGTTATATGTGGATAGTAAAATTTCCACCTACGTTTGGAAAAAAGTACAGACTAGTAAAACCTACATTTTTACTTGGTCAACTCGTTGAATTGATAACTGAAAATAAAATACTAACAGAAGATGCATTAAGCTAAAGTCTTGTCCTACTAATGTACTGTAATTGTTAAACAGTAAGTAGGCAAAAAGATCTTGTTACCCTAGTTGAACCTTGAATGTGTTACAGCACTCTTATATAAAATTGTTTGAGATAGTGCTGAACCTTAATGGAGCTTCTCACCAAACGTGCTTTGAAAGGGTTGAATAAAAAGATTATGGTAAGTACTCACTTTTCATCTGAACACAGATTATTCAAGCCTCGCAAAAGGCTCTGTGATTAGGGGTCTTTAAACCTAAGAAGTTACTTAGTTATAAACACTGCACAGGAATTTAGATGGAACTGTGGTTATCATAAAATGCCAGGCATTCCATATTCTCATCTTTCTAGGTCTCTGTTTATTACCTCCGTTCCTACTGTGGCTAAGTGTTAACAATCCAGGTTTTCAAAAATCAGAGGCACAGTGTGTTTTTGGGGTAGGGGACACAAGTTAAAACAGGTTGGTTTGGTTGTGGTTTTTTTTTTTTTTTTTTTTTTGTTGGACACAGATACTGTTTTATAGCTGGAGAGGAATCTCGGGTCCGCAGTACCTTTGCAAACATTTGTGGTGGAAGAGCAAAGTATGCATATACTGTTTTACTCATGTTTTATTTTCAGCATGCTATGTGCACAGTGTTGTTAGTATATCTGTCTACATCCCTCTGAGACTATGTGGTGGGAAGGATAGTATATATTTTGTCTTATGGATAGTATTAAAAATGTAATATGCATGAGAGATTCATCTCTGGAAAAAAGCCTTGAGGTGTGTATACACAGAATTTTCCCATCCATTTTCCAAAAACTTGATGAACACCTTGGTAATTAACATACGAAACTCTAGAAACCCATAAAACAGGTATGATTGTTTCTTGTGTTTTACTTTGTTCCTATCTCGAAAAAGTGTAGTGTCTGTTGTCTGTTAAACGTGTAGGGCCTGTAGGTCACTTGCTTGTCACAGAGGCATATACTTTGAATTGTAATATAGGGGTATGAATATGGCCATAGACAGAGGTCTTCCATTGAACACTGAAGCTCAGATTAAAAAAATAGCATCTTCATTTAAAAGATCTTAGGACATGAACTTCATAGTAGTGGATGAAGTGCGTTTTTGAGACACTTAGGACATTTAGTGAAAATACTGTCCTTTAAGAAAAATTGGCCTTAGCATCACACCTGTGTTTGATTCAACTTGACATTGGAGACATTGATACTCTTGTATCCTTAACTAACTGAAATCTTGTGAAAGGAATAATTTTTTAAAACTTTTTTTTTCCTACTTAGTGGTGATTTTTATAACTGTCTGTCTGTCTTCACTGATGGGCAAATGCTCCTTTGTGATGGTCTATAATGGATTTATTTCCCCACAGCAGTTCTGATTGGACAGAATGATCGCTTCATGATGTTTCCAAGTGGCAGAAAACAACTTAAACCATCTAGTCAGGCTCACTTATACTTTTAATAGCAACAAAATAAGAATATTTCTTAGCATTGCATAATTAGAAGTCATTTTATGTAGTGACAGTGTTACTTCCATTGATATTGCTGTTTTATTCAATTTTATTAGGATTAAAGTTGTGAGTAACTTGTAAACTACTTACAGAATAACTAATCATCACAGAAGAAAATTTTGTGATACTTTGAAAGTCAGTGTTGGTTGAAGAGGAATTATGGGTAGAGGATCTTACAAGCTTTAACTCTCATTGGAGGTTACATACCAGTGGAAGAGTTGGGGGAGTATAATTGTTTAGCTTAGTCTGATATAGAGCATTGGCCCTAAAAATGACACCCAAATATGATAGACAATTCTTCTGTTAACTGAACACTTGTACAAGCTTATGTTGCTTGTTAGTAGGAATGATGTAGGCTCAATTGGTATATTCATTGAATGCTTGATGATAGTCCTTCAAACCCTTGTCATGTGTGTTTTTTTTTTTTTTTTTTTTTTAATAAATCATTATTCTTTCTTCTCTAGGTCACCTTTACAAAGAGGAAGTTTGGATTAATGAAGAAGGCATATGAGTTGAGTGTACTCTGTGACTGTGAAATAGCACTCATCATTTTTAACAGCTCTAACAAACTCTTTCAGTATGCCAGCACTGATATGGACAAAGTTCTACTTAAATACACAGAATACAACGAGCCCCATGAAAGCAGAACCAACTCAGATATTGTTGAGGTAACAATTTGAAAAGACACATCAGTTTTCTTATCTCCTTAATACTTCAAATATAGAACAATACAGAGTATTTTAAGATATTTTAACCAAATGTATTTAATAGCTTGAAAACCTTGTCATAAAATGTAAACTACTGCTTTTAGTCTGGTTTCTCTAAGGCACTAAGTTGACTTTACAGCCATGTTGTTTTCCCATCTGCCCTCTACCCCCTGCCAGTTTCTGGGAAACATGTTTGATTTCAACCATGTTTGGCAATGGAAATAGAGGTGTGAAAGATGGTTTTTCTTCTTGGGGGTTAGGGAGGGGGGAAGTGTTCAAGGTTTATGTGGAGAAAAAATTAATTGGATGGAGAATGAGGTCCAGAGTGCCCTCAGCCTGACAAACAGTTACGGTTGGTCCCTTTTCTCTTCTGAGGTAATAGACATAGACATTTTACCAGTCAAAGGCTGCACACAGATTGAATCAGCCACAGCCTGTGCTGCCCCTTGTTCAGCCAAAAAAAAACACAACAAAAAAGTGAATCTATGGAGCAAATGAACTTAATTAAATTTGCTGTCCAGTCACTCTCAGATAAAACACAGCAGTAGATTGACTGCAGTTTCTGCAGTAATAGTATAGCGTGAATATATTTTCTCAAAGGTATTGGTTTCGTCTACTTTTATTATGCTTGTGCTTTAAATAGATATTCTTCCAGTACATAATTTCTAAAGTAGGTGCAGTAGAAATCAAGGATTTTCTTGGCAACTCAAGCCTTTATGTACTGTAACTGCATTTCAGATAAGTCATGTCTCCAGTAGTCCTGTAAATAGACCAGAACAGGTGGCGTTTAATTTAAATTCTGAAGTTGTCTCCTGAACAAATGCCTTGCTTTTTAGGAATGATTTAGGAATAGTGATTAGCCTTGTATAGCTGAAGAGTGTTATCGCCAAGGGGATCATGGAATACAGGGAGGATACTAGCTGATCTTGTAAAGAAACTTTCAAGAAAAAATCAGGTTGACAAAACTGAGAAACAGACAAATGCCTTATTTCTTTTTGAGAAGACTGTCTGCTAATTTGTCAGCTGCCTTTTATGATTAGAAAGAAAATCTTCCCAACCTCTGTCTTCAGCATTGAGTACTAATGAGAGAGATAATACAAGCTTTGAACAGTTGAAGGAGTATTGCTTAGTCACTGATTAGTATAAATAAGGGAATAGCCGCTGCAGAGGAAGGGAAAACCTAATTCTTTCAAGATGAGCTTTTGATTGTGACAGACATGAACTTGAGATAGGGATGGAAGCAAGTCAGTTAGCCAGACCAATTTTTGTTCTGCATCTGAGGCCTCTTTGTATTATGACTTGTGGTTATAGTGCTTCTGCACAAGGACTAAGAAACTCTTCCAAAATAATTTCTACACAGGGCTGCCTGTAGTTTTTTGTCGTCTTTTTTTTTTTTTTTGTGTGTGTGTGTGTTGTTTTTTCTTTTTTTTTCCCCCAGTGTCAAGTGTTTGACCCCTGACAGCCACATAAAAAGGTGCATTTAGTACCCAAGTGCATGTATGGTTTCTCTTCTGGGAGAACATGCAAGGACTCATCTGCCAATTCTTTCTAATTTTCCTCCATAAGTTTGCTGTGTTATACTAGTGTGGGATTTGGGACTTCACTCTTATTTTTCAAATATAATACAATTTAGGAGTGCATCTCCCAGTCTCTTTAGATTAGCCCTCTGCACTCTTTAGTCTGCTTGAAATGTTTTGGGCTTCTTCTTTCGCTTTCTTCGGAAAAAGTTACTTAGCCAGAGAGGGGAGTGTACACCTTTTTTCAGGGAAAATACTTTGTTTAAGTTTATGTCAAGTTTTTGGCTGGGAAGGTTAAATCAGTAGGATGAAATATTTACAGGTTCAATGTATGTATGGTAGAGTGGTGTTTTCTCTCGGTTGGATTCCAGGAAGAAAAATTGTATTTCAGAGAGATACTGTGCAGTTTCGTTTTTTGCAACTGATTGCATTTCAGATTTGCTCCATCTGTGTGGTAACTTTGTAGTCTACTAGCTATTGTTTTTAGGCAATTAAGAGAGGTCATTCATGGTTGGGTTTGGATGGTTTGCTTCCCACTGTAAGTACATAATGTCTTGAATTTAGAAAAATATTTCTTTTCAGTGGAAAATTATCTACTTTTTTGCATTACAACAGAACTGAATGAGTTCAGTGGAGGATATGATGTGCTTTGGAGCAGATAGACTGACAGGTACAGCATAGGTAGGGAGCAACATGGGAGAAGAGGTGAGATAGGAGAGAATAAGACTCCTGTATTTAAGCAGTAGCAAGTTGCCAGAAGCTCACTGCTTCATGTAATGTCAGCACTGACAGATGCTTGTGGCATGATAGAGGTGAATTTACAGCACCAGCATTTTGGAAACATTCTGAAAGAGCAATGTAAAATAGCTTCTCTTTATTGTACCTATGTGGAAATACTATTTTAACATTCATAAATTATAAACACACACACCCCCACACCCAAACAACTAAAAATCTGTCAAATGTACACTAAGCCAATTTAGAATAAGTAATTTCAGGTTGTGGGGTTTTTTGTCTTTTTTTTTTGATTGGTTGGTTGTTTTTTGGTTTTGCTGTGCTAGAAGGAAAGATAATTCTATGCAGTTCAGAAGCTGTATAAGGGAAGAAACAAGTCTACTGTTACTTTCAGTACTGGAGAGATGGCAATGCTGTAAATGATTAAGTGAGATTGATGAGACGTCTTCCCCCTATAGTTGCCTCCTGTTCAATTCTGGCAGAGGAATTGCTTTTTTATGCCCAGAGCTTGGTGTCTTCTGTTGCTGCTGGAACACTTGTATGAAAACATAGTGGGAGGGAGAGCACAGGCATCTTAAATGAATACTAGAATTTTTTTTGATGCATGCCCTTATGTCTGTCACTGTACATGTTACTGCAGATGTGAAAGCTCTGTTGCTGTCCTGTCCCTGTTCTTTTCTAACTTTTTTGTCCCTTCTATGTGTTCTTGTTGGTCCCATTTTTCTTTTTAATTTCTGTTGATATTTCCTTGTTCTTCTTCCCCTCCCTTTTTTTTTTCACCATTTAATTTCTAAACAGTTTATCAGTAAATTGTTGTTGTCTTTACCTGTTTCTTGCCATTGGGTTTTTGTCATCATAATGTCTTTTCTTTTGTAGCTACTTGGTAACTAGTAACTGATACTGGTTTGTAAGGAATATGTTTTTTCAGTCATTTCAGCCATAATCATAGATTTATGAAGAGTTGGAATTAGAAGTTAAAGAATTTAATTTTAATGTAAGCTTAGTATTCTAACTATCAGTAGTCTACCTGGGGATGGTCCATTCCCTGCCATTTCGTACTCTTAAAATTAAGGGAGAATATATTGTAACAGATGGCCTATAACCAGTTTTAAAGGATAATCTGTGTGGCATTTTAGAGTTGGAAGTCAACCTTTGTGAGCTTTGACTTTTTTGCTGTTTAAATCTGGTTTACACCATTGGAAAAAAAGAAGTGAATAAGGAAAACAGGATTGTTTGAGACACTCAAAATCTTCAGAACATACAGGGGTCTGTGAAATAACTTCCTTGATTAGCAGATCAGGAACAATTGGTCTAATGGGTTTTTTAGATTAATTTCTGCATCCTTCTGAAATATGGAAGGTAAACACAGCAGGTGATGTGAGGACAGTGAAACTTCACTTGTGATTGCTGATCTCCTGACTTTTTAGTAAAAGGCAGTTACTCAAGAGGTGGTGAGTATATGGTTTCCTTTAAGCCTTATGAAAAGGAAAAAAATATATCTTGTGTTGAAATTCCAAAATAACCTTTTCATACGATTTCAGAAATATAAATTGTCATTCAAAAAAAAAATCTTTGATGTTTCTTGCTCTTGGACAATATGGTCCTTTTCACATCAGATGAGAGAGATTTTGTTCTGTTGTACAATAAGGTTTTATTTGTCTTTTTTTTTTTTTTATAGTTGCTTGAGTGAAAGCTAGTGCTCTTGCACAGGTTAGATGGACCATATAGGGATATTGAAAAAAGTAACATTTTCATTCAGTGTGTGTTCTGAATTCTTGAAATACTAGGATCATGTATTTAGTTTTACAAAGCCATAATGACACACTTGAAGGTTTTTACACTGAAGTACTATCTGTGATTTGAAGGACTTGCTGCAAGTGTTACAGCATTTGATGCTTTAATGTTCATGGACTTTTTTTCTGTAACACATTATTCTTGGCAAGTAATTACTTTTCCTAAAGAAAGAAGTAGAATACTTCCACAGAGTAAAATGTGAAGAATTTCAGATTTTATCAGGTTTAAAGGAAAAAGGGAAAATGAACAGGCACTCATACTCAGTCTTCTTTAGTGTAGGGCATGTTAAGATTATTACAGATTATCTATAAAGTAACATTTCCATGTTGGATCTTTCTGTCCCTCATGAGGGCCTCAAAAAGCAACAGTTGTTAAGTTGTTCCCTCTCTTCCAGCCTTGTTTTTTGTGGGAGTCAGAGGCTGAAGACAGGATTTTTTTTGCCTATTTAGCTCAATTTTTTAATCTCTTTTCCATATTTTGATGTTCCTTGAGTGGTATAGCAAAACAGGGTTTATTTCACCTATTCTTGGCTGTGGGTGGGTGTGCACATTCCATCATATCATCAAATTGAGGTGATTTGATTTTTAGGAGCCTAAAATGTGACCTACTTTGCTGGTTGGCGTCTGTGCCCATGGGAATTTTGTATAGGTGTCAGCTAATGAGCCTCTTCTGTGCTGTATAGTTTAATGGTGTTTTCAATATAGTATTATGTGCTGTATAAGGCTTAGGTTATACCCCAAATTTTGACAGCTGTCCTTGAAATATGCAGTAATTCATAATAAAAATAATAACTAAAAAGTATAAAAAGAAATCTGTCCTAAACTATATAATGTAATTACTGTAAACATACTCATCCCTGTGAAAAGACTACTGTATTGGAATAATCATAATTGTTTCTTGGTGTAAGTTACAACA